CCAAGGCTGGAAGGGAAAACCGAACCCTGCCACGTGGGTCCAGGCCCCCTCCCGCCACCCCTGCCTCCAGGGCAGCCCTCTTCCTCCTGCCTCCCCAGGCAGCATCCGGCCTTCACTCCGCCTGCCTCTGCTGGCGGGAAGGCCAGCTCCTGGACCCCCTCCCCAGCCACCAGGGCTGCCCTGAGCCCAGTCTGTGGGTCCTTCCCAGAAGCACCACCGTGTGGCTCCACCGCCCTCCACAGGACCTCTACCCTGGACCCCAGAAAGCCCGCTGGCCAGGAGACACACCCCTCGCACCCCTGCAAGCCCCCTGCTGCCCCCTGCAAAGGCCAGGGCAGGTCAGAGGGAGGTGAGGGTGTGAGCTCCTCCCCCCCACTCAGGGCCCCTTTCAGGCTGCCCACGTGCCTCTCCCCACCCAGGCCACTTACCCTCTAGCCTCTGTGGGGATGAGACAGGCAGGGCATGGGGGCAGCCAGCTGACTCATTCCACAAGGAAGGCCTTGTCACGATAAGCAGTGACCCTGCGGGCCTCCCCATGCCCCTGCCTGGCCAGGCAACCGGGACTCTGGGGCCGAGGTCTCGGCCTTGCATTGAGCCCAGGACAGTCTGCAGGACCAGCCTCCACTGTGGCCCCTCCTGGCCACGCAGGTGGCCTGGGGATGACAGGCTGCCCCTGTGGCTTTGGGGCATTGGCTAAGGCCAAGAAGGGCGAGCAGCATGCCCACAGGCCTCACCTCACAGAGCGGCCCAGAGAAACCCTTGGGGCAGTGGCAGCGGAAACCATCCACCAAGTCCTCACAGAGGCCGCCGTGGCAGGGGCTGCTGGCACACTCATCCAGCTCGAGCTCACAGTGCCGGCCCCCAAAGCCCCGTGGGCACACACACTGGTAGCCATTCACCAGGTCCTAGGGTGGGTGCAAGGGGGGTGGTGAGCGCCCTGAAGCCACCCTCAGCCCCAAAACTCCCCCCAAGCGGGTGCAAGTGCCCAGTGGCCAGCCACACCTTACCTTGCAGGTGCCACCGTGCTGACACTGCCCCCGACAGTCGTCGATGTCTGTGGGACAGAGGGATGGGGTCACAGTGGGGTCCTCAACCTCCCCCAGCCCTGCCCATAGCTGCCCACCCACCCATACTGACTGATGTGGCAGTCGGCGCCCTTCCAGCCCGGCAGGCAATCACAGTAATAGCCACCAATCAGGTTTTTGCAAGAAAAAGCATTAAGACACGGCTTCCCTTCACACTCATTGGCGTCTGTGAACGAGACAAGGGGAGCGGTGGGGCCCGGGCCCACCTGCCCCACCTGCCCCGGCCCCAGTGGCCCCAGCAGCACCGGCAGCACCAGCAGCACCAGCAGCACCAGAGGCACCAGCGGCACCAGCAGCCGTAGCCGCACGCACAGTCCATGCACACACGTACCCCGGGGGGCCCTTACCCAGCTGGCAGGTGGCCCCCACCCACTGCTCAGGACAGATGCACTCGAAGCCATCCACCTGGTCCATGCAGGTGCCCCCCGCTGCGCACGGGTTGGAGGCGCACTCGTCGATGTCTGCAAGGGACAGGAGGGCGAAGGGAGGGGAGGGGGTTGCACGAGGAGGGGGAGGGGAGTCCCGGGGGGCAAGGGGCACATGAGGAAGGGAGACTGCAGGGGGGGCACATGACTGGGTCTTCCTGTCACTCCTCCCCTGACCACTAGGACCACAGCCACGTGTGTGGGCTCAGCCACTCCACGCCCAGTCCTCAGAGCGCTGTCCCACCCCCCACCCTCTGGACTCCCTCAGGTGCCAGGCTGGAGTCCCACAAACACTCACCAAGTGCACAGGTGGGCCCGCTCCAGCCCGATGGGCAGTGGCACTCAAAGCCTGAGGGCACCTCGTGGCACGAGCCCCCATTGGCACACGGGTTGGAGGTGCAGGCATGCTCAGCTGCGTTGGGAACAAGAGGGGGGTGGGCGTGGTGGCCCAGACACCCCTCCTTCCACGAGAGCTCCTCCCCAAGGCCCCAAGGTGGTGGTAACGGGGTGCCTGCAGCACGAAGGCCAGAGAGGTGGGCCCAGCCAGCCCCCAGGAACCCACATCCTGCCAGGCGCTGTGCCCCGACATACCCCGCTCACAGTTCTTGCCCGAGTAGCCGTCAGGGCAGACACAGTGGTACTGGTCAGGCTCCGCGTTGATGCAGGTGCCCCCGTTGGTACACGGGTGGTGGCTGCCGCAGTAGTTCAGGTCTGGGGACAGGGGTGGGGTGCTCAGAAGGGCAGGCCACACACCTCACTCCCTGCCTTCCCCCAGCCAGCACCCACCCGCCTGCCGCCCGCCACACCTTTGTTGCAGAGCAGGCCGCCCCAGTTGGTCTGACAGTTGCATTGCCAGGGCTCCACGCAGCTGCCGTGCACACAGCCAGGGTACGGGACACACTCGTCACAAAACCGCCCCTGCCAGCCGTAGCTGCACCTAGGGAAAGCCGATAGGCGTAAGAGCCAGCATGTGAGCGTGTACCCCAGGACCTGGGGCCACTCCCGGGGGTGCTCAGGGACATCAGCACAGTGTCATGTGGGCCACCCCCAGGATGGTCCGCCTCGGCCTTTGAACTGGAGCAGGCCCCGCGCCAGGGTGGGGGGGGTTATGGCCCTGCTGGCTGGTCCGCACGGTCACGGGCCGCTGGCCTCGCATGGTTGGCCACAGCTGTCCAGTCACTCCTCCTGGAGCTATTTTGGGATTCACCCCCCGCCGGGCCCCAAAGCAGGCGCCAGGGAAGGAAGGCCCTGCCGGGACCCCAGGAACAAGCACCATTCCAATGCACCAGGTGCTGCCAGGGCTAGGCAGGCCTTGGAGAGGACTGCTGGCCTGGCCCTGGCTGGTAACCTTGGGCACTGCATGCGAGCTCACCTGTAGCTCAAGGGCAGTAACACTTCTCTCCTCAAGGCCCCATCAAGGGCACGTCTCACCAGGGGACACGGAGGCCCCCAGACTGCACCAGGCCAGCCCCATGAGAGGCCAGATTCAGGGCCATTCCTGAGCTGGGAGGAGTCACCCGCTCCCTGGCAAACGGCCTCAAGAGGCCCTCGGCTCCAAGGCCATGACCCCGAGGCCTGGTCCTGCCTGAGCCATGAGCCAACATGCTCTCTGGAAAGTCCTTCAGGAGGAGGGGCAGAAAGACACCCAGGCCAGCAGCGCAGGCCCAGCCCAGGCGTGGCCACCCCTCTGAGGGCCCTGAGCTCAGCCTGACTCACTGCCCTGAGGGAAGAGAGAGACCAGCATCCTGCACAGATGCCTTGGGGCCAGCAGGCTGCCCCCCAGGCCCTGGACAGGGCCTCCAGGGGACCTTTCTAGAAGTCCCTTGGGACAGAGTGATGTCCAGGCCACATTGCTTCCATACTGGCACCGGCCACATCAGTTTATTTTTGTAACAGAAAAGAGCCATGGCCCTTCCTGGGCCACCCCCGAGTCCCACAGTACCCAGACGGGACATTGGCTGGATCAGCCAGTTCAGGACAGGGAAACTGAGGCTCATGAAAAGGGGTTCCACCAACCAGCCCTGGACATGCAGGGAAGGTGGCCATCCTTGTGGGTGGCACATTCCCGCCTGGAACCCTCCGTCCAGGTGATTTCGGAGCCCCAGTCTGGGGGCGGGGCCGTGACGTGCCTCAGGCCCACCTACATGGGACCCAGTAACCCAAGGGTCCCAGGGCGTGTCCTCAGCCCTGGGTGGGGCCGCCCTCTCTAGGCCCCCACCTCCCCAGCTTTCCTGGACTTCAGCTCCAGAAGTCCAGGGAGGAGGCGGCAGGAAGGCACGGCCATCTCCGCGGCATCCGGTGGGGGGGGTGTCCTGCACTGAAACCTGAGCCCTGCGCCGTCACCGGCAGCAGCTGGCCTCACCCACAACGCCAGCGAGGAGGGCGGGTGGGGCTCACCTATGGCCTCTGTCCCAGGGGGGCCTGCCCCTGTCTTCCTGAAGAGCCCACACCGGTAGCAGAGGACAGCCCTCTCCCACCCACCTCCCACCCCAACTGCTCAGTCACTAGCCACCCAGGGCCATGGTCACAGCACCTAAACTGTGCACCGCACACAGAGCTGGGCAGGGTGTGTGCCCCCGCCGTGCTTACCACCCATGGACTGTCTGCCCAGAGTCCCCAGGCTCACACCCAGCACACAGGCTAGAGGGCAGGGCTGCAGGGGAAGGCACCCTCCTCTCCTACTTGGGTACAGCTCCCGGAGGTGTGTGCCCCCCAAGACATGGACGACACCCCGTGGTCCTGGCCCCCCAGGGGCCCCCTCACCCATGCTGTGCTCCCCACACCACCTTAAGTCAGGCTCTTCTTGTCTGAGACCCGGCAGCATGAGTGCCTGGGTGGGTGATGAGCTAGCCCCCTGCCTGCCCCAGGACTGGCGGGTCCACTCCACATGCCACCTCCCCGGAAGGGTCCAGGGCCACCGCCCCCCACTGACTCCTGAGCCAGCAGCTCCCAAACCTTGCCCTCGGTGTCTCTGTGCTCAATGTCCTCATCTGAAAAATGTGCCCTGAAGCAAACCCATCCCCCCCGGAAGGGGTCCTGGGATAAGTGACCCCAAGGCTGGGGCAGAAGAGTCACGGCACCTGCCCGTTTCCTGCCAACGTGTAGGATGCCATGGGGCCCCACGTGTGTCTCAGGCCAGGCCTCTCCCCACAAACCCAGGGCAAACATCACCTCCAACATGACCTGCTTCTCTACCCGGCCCGCTGTGCCTGAGGCCATCCCTGCCTCAGTCCTGGCAGCTCCACTGTTCAGTAGCACGGGCTACAATGCTTGAGGTCCTCCCTGACCCTCCACTCTTCCTCTCACCCCTACATCAAATCCATTCCCAGGCAACTGCAGAACTGGCCCACCTCTCTCCCTCCGGCCAGATCTCACCAACAGGTACCCCTCCCTGTATTCCTGTGTTCCTGCAGTGGCCTCGGCCTGGCTCCTCCCAGACAGCAGCTGCCCTGGTCCTGGGCACCCAGTCTGGCTCAGCTCTAAAACCCTCCAGCAGACCACTCACTGGCCTCTCCCTGTCCCCCACCCATGGGCATGAGCCACTGTGTCCCCTGCAACTCCTGTGCAGCAGACACCTGCCCACCTCAGGCAAGGCTGTCCCAGTCGTGTTCCGTGAAATGACCCTGGCCACCCTCCCCTGCCCCTTGCCACACCATCCTCACAGGGCTGTTGCCGATGGGCACAGTCCAAGCTGCAAGGATGCGAGTGTCCCCACACTGATGACAAGCTGCACAGGGGCAGGGCCTGTGTCCCCAGTCGGTGTGTCCCCAACACGCAGCACAGTGCCTGGGGCCTGGCAGAGGGAGCAAGCGTGAGCAGGGTGAAGACAGGGCAGGTGGCGGCACTCACTTGCACTCCCCAGGCACAGAGCATCCCCCGTGGAGCAGGTTACACCCTTGTTTACACACGGCTGTGAACAGAGAGCAGAGGCCCGCGCTGCAGCGCCTGGAGAGGTGAGGGGTGGCGGCCCCCCCACCCCGCCCCACCCCTCGCCCCTGTGTGCCCCCCCTGCCCTGCCCTTTGCCCCCCTGCGTGGCCCCACCCCCGCCCCATGTACCATCCCCCCAGCCCTGCCCCTCACCCCCTGCATGCCACCCTACCTGCCCCCCTGTCCCCAGCGTGCCCCCCCCCCGCACCTTCTTTGCACTCCTTGCCCATCCAGCCATCCATGCAGGCCTTATTGCCAAACTGGTCACAGGTGTAGTGGCCAAAGAAGTCATTGCGTGGCCGGCAGAACTTGTTGCAGGTGGCGCTGTAGTAGTTCTCGTCGCAGCGCACACGGATCTGCAGCTCCAGGTGCGCCACGTGGCCACTGAAGTGCAGGCTCTTCCAGCGGTCTTCGGGGTTGATCATGCCCGCGTGCGACACCCGCTCAATCAGCAGCTCCTCTTGGGGAGGTGGCAGAGTCAGCCCACAAAACCGACCGCCGGCAGCCTCCGGGAGGCAGTGCCGGGACAGCAGGGCCACGGGCCCGGCCACCACAGAAAGCCCAGGGCTGAGAGGTGACTCCTGCTCCCAGCCCCAGATGTAGCAGGGGCCGGGAGGGGGCTGCTCTGGGGCGCTGCGTCCCTGCCAGTGCCCGCAGATGGTGACCTCGTGCCTCCCAGCTTCCCCACCAGGCACCGCGTCCCCCTCGCCGCACAGGACACGGCTGGGCCGTCCTCCCGTCTCCTGCTCCGAGACGTCCCTCTCTCTGAGCACTGCTCGCTACTGCCCTGTCTTTAAACAAGCCTCTCTAGGCCCAGGGAACATGTCGATCCAGTGATCCGACAGCTGGGCCTCCCTTCAAGCCACACTGCTGCACGGAGAGGGCGCCCCGAGCTGACAGCCAGGGGTACACAGGGTCTGTAGTTTCCCCACGCATTTGTACCAGTTTGGGGTTCTCCACAATAACAGGCTAAGGAACTCCGCGCACCGTGCTCCCTCCGGCTACCCTAGCAAAGGCCTGGCCTCTCCTCACAGGGCCTACGCCTCACACTGTCCCATCGCCAGCCTCCTCCCAGGAACACTCCTGCCTGGGGAAGGATGGGCAGCCTGTCCCCATGCCCGCCCAGCCCGGCCCCTCTGTGTCTCCACAGCACTGACACCTGTGGACCTGGGCTTGGCCAGACTCAGCATCCAACTGCCCACCTGACATCCACTTCCAAACTGCATCTGGCCCATCCGCATGACGGCCGCTCCACCCCGCAGCTGCCCGGGCCCCCTGCCCAGGCCCAGGCCCCTGCCTGTTCTCTCCTCGTCCTAACACCGGCTAGCCCCGTGCCTCTATCTTCAGGGTGGCCAGAGCCCCTCTCAGCCCAAAGGCTGCTCCTGTCCAAGCACCCCCGACTGCCTCTTGGATTCACACAACAGCCTCCTCACTGGTCTCCATCCTGGCCCTGCAATCTGCCCTCATGTGGCAGCCCGAGCAATCCTGCTGCCAGAGAAAAGCCAGCATCCTCACAGTGGCCCCTGAAGCCTCTGTGACCTGATCCAGCCTCATAGACCTAATCACGACCCTCCGTTCCCTGCCACAAAGGCCCCAAGCTGTCCCCTAAACACCCAGGCTCACTCCTGCCCCAGGGCTTTTGCACATCCTGCTCCTGCTGCACATGCAAATACTCCTCCCCATTTGTCCATGGAAAACCCCTCTGCCCAACCAGCACAGGGCCCCACAGACCCCCACATGCAGCCCAGGCAGCCCACAGGTGAGCCTTGGGGAGAGGGCCACCAAGCCCTGCATTCCAAGACAGATGGCAAGAGAGACAACCACACAGCCAGAGGTCTCTGCAGTGACCTGATGAAGTATGCCACTGACACAGTCCCCCAAAAACATGTCCATCAGAACAACACAGACAAAGCTGAGACTGGGGAGGAAGCGCACGCACAGCTCTGCAGATCACAAAGGGTCAGAGTTTCCTGGCAGCCAGAGCAAAAAGGGAGCCAGCACAAGAGATCCTCAGGGTCAGGGCAGATTTCCTGTCACAGGGGACCCAGGCCCCTGCAGACACAAGACCAGAACCTGGCACATGCATCTCGCCCACTGATGGGGTCAGCCTCTCCAAGCCCTGCAGGAGGTCCTGCAGCCAGCGCACCCAGGCCCACCCAGCCGGGGCCAACTCACCATCTGGGGTAGTGTCGTTGTCCCAGTCCCAGGCCTCCACGATGAGGGTGAAGGAGCGCTGTGGACACGGGGAGGAGGCTGGTCAGGGACCCGAGAACTGCCGCCAGACAGCCCTCCTCCTCCTGGGCCCTGGCTGCACCCTTCCTCCCCTACCTCACCCCTCAACTCTGAGGAGCAGCTTCAGGCCACGCCTCCTCAGCAGACCCCCACAGGACCCCTTGGAGGAGGGAGGCTGCCCCTCAAGGTCACGGAGGCTCAAGAGGCCTGGACCCCCAGCTCCCGCAGCCCTGTGGTCCACAGGTCATGGGGAAAAGGGAGAGCGACCCAGACAGAGCAGCGGACAGAGGGCAGGAGCAGCTGGCATGGCCACAGATTGGGACCCGGGGTGGCCTAGGGCCAGAGCGGATCCAGGGGGAGCTGGAGCCTGACCCACTGTGGGAAACAGGAGGTCCTGCCACAAGCCCGCCAGGGAGGGATGAAGCCCTGCCCCACTGCCACCCCGTGCCCTCTGCCAGGCACACGGGGACTGCAGGGCCAAGGCACACACACCACAAGGCCCCTGACAGGCCCAAGCACTGTGCTGCCCCCCGGGACACAGCAAGTGCGCAGTAAACAGTGCACGACCCACTTGCCTGCCTCCTGTGACAACAGAAGCAGCAGCAAGTGGGGCCCTCGTTGCCCAGGTGGGGAAACTGAGGCCCAGGGGCCGCCTGATGCAGCTTCAGCCCGTGGTCACTCCCCTCCCTTCCCCCAAGACCATCCGTCCCTCATGCCCCAGGTGATGTGACGACAGGGTGACATCACTGAGCAACCCCAAGACACATCCCTCTGCAAGGGTGCCCTGTCACAGGCACAAGCTCGCCCCGCCCCTCGCCACCCCCTACCTGGGGCCCTCCGAGCCCTCCGCCGCTCGGCCCCTCTTCGGACCAGCCATGGACGTGCTGATCACCTCCCACCCAGCCCGAGCTCCACCCCAGGCTGGGGGCCCACAGGAGAGAGCCACCTCTGGGGCCGCCAGCTGGTGGCTTTCTGCCTGAGGGGTCTGGGAAACCCGTGCTTCCTCGCCGAGGGCCCACACCTAGGCCATCCCTGCCATCCCACAGCCTCTTGCTGCAGCCCACACCCCAGCCTGCCGGCCCTTCCCTCTGCCTGCACGCCCCCGCACCTCTACCCTGGCCCAGCACAGGCTCTGCCTTCCCCCACAGCCCCACTCCCAGAGGGCCGCACTCCCCATCCCGGGCCCCCGCCCCACCAGTGGGCTGTCGGCCACATCTCATCACGCCCACAGCCTCTGGGCACCGGAGCAGGGCCTTCCCTTGGGGGACCCTCTCCCTGTCCTCCCCATGCCTCCAATCATTCCTCCAACAACCTAGCGTCAGGGCCCAGGACACCATGCCCACCCTCAGCTTCATTCAACCTCCCCTATGCCGCTGCCCCTGCCCCCAGCACCCCTAGCACCTGCCTCCTGGACCCCCCCGGGCAACTCCTAGAACCTCTGCCAGCTGCCACCCTAAGACACACATCTGCTCAAGAGCATGGCAGGAATCACGAACCGATTCCTGCTCCCGCAGCGCTGTCCCCAGGCTCTCAAACCTACCTCTTGTGTCTCCCAGAAACCCACTGCCCCACACCTGCCACCACCCTCTGCCAGGCCAGCAGGTCCAGCGCACAGGCCACCCATCTCCTCCAAGAGCTCCCTGTAGTCACTGGGGTCTCCGTACCCCTGTCCACAAGAGCCCCAGAGACCCTCAGGGCCCTGTCCACATGCCCCTCACTGCCCAGAGCCCTCTTGGGGCTGCCCATGACTCCTGCCCTCCTCACAGCAACCCCGCATGCCCACCTGGACCCTGGGCCTTTGCACACACAGTTCCCTCCCTCTGCCTGGAATGCCACCCTCAGGCCAGCTTTCCCCAGCCAGTCTCGCTCCCGGTGCCAGACCACTGGAGTGCCTAGCCCCCACCCCGTGCAGCACTCACTCACTCATTCATTCGTTCATCTGTCTGTCCATCCATCGAGCGTGCACCAGTCACAGCTCTGCCTCCAGGGACCAAAACCACTGCCTGGCAGATGGGTGAGTCAGTTGGGCTCCAGGGGATGGAAATGGAGCCGCTGTTCTCAAAGGGAGTCAGGGCAGGCCTCAGAGAGGGTGCCCCTGGGGTTGAGGCTGCACAGAGCAAGGGAGGAAGTATCCCAAACACGAGGGGCTACATGGCAGGGCCCCAGGGCGGGAAGAGCAGGGATGGGGGAACAGAGGTCTCAGAGCTAAGCTGTGTGCGCCGCAGGCTCCCCACCAACTCGGCTGCTAACACTGAGCTGCATGCCAGGTGGGTCTGGCCGAGCGAGGCCGGAAACCAACATGGCCACCGGGCAGAACGGGCCACACGGGAAGACTCGGGAGGGAGCAGGGAGACGACTGTGGGCTGCACCCGAGAGGCCAGGGCCAGGGTGGTCAAGCCCACCAATGAGGCAGGCCCCGGGCCACTCACTCCATGAGGCTGCTCGCCCCACGGGGCTGTCGGGGCCCACCACCTGGCACCTGGACTTTGGGGAGCCAGGAGCTCCTCCAGGCTCCCAGGAAACCCCACGCCAGCGGCTCAGGTAGGATTACCACCACCTTCGCCCAAGCCCAGGCTCCAATTACCTGCTCCCGCAGGAACGGGTACCCGCCCACCCACCCGCAAGGGCCCCACCGCCTGCCAGCTGGGTTACCTACACCTGGACGGCAGGAAGTCACCCAGAGGGAACCCAAGCCGGTGGGCGGGGCAGCACCAGTGCAGCATCCCCTGCCCCCACCCCTGCCCCATCTCCTCCACCCCACTGGCCTCTAGGACTCAGTTTCCCTCTGCAAACGGCAAGCTTGCATCCTTTCATTCCAGCGCCGTTGCCTCGCAGGCCACGTGCTGGGATCCGGTCTGTCAACCCTAAATCCCTACGAAACAGGAGCAGCAGCAGGCCTGGACTGCAGGCCTCGGAGGGCGTCCCGCCACTCCAGATGCCCGGGGAGGGGCGACGGCGGCTGGCGGTGGGTCCCTAGCAAGACACAGAGAACCTCCCAGGCCAGACCCAGCTGGGCTGCCAGCCTGCTCAGCGCTTGGAGACCCACCCAGCGGCCTTCGTCCCTGAAGGCCCAGCCACATTGCTTCTCCCAAAGCCCACCCTGACCCACCTGCACCAGAATCCCAGCCCGACCATGGTCTCCTCCCTGGCCTGTGCCCAAGGCCAGATCCAAATCCTTCATCTGACCCCTAGAAAGCAGTAACAGGACAGCAACTCAAAGACATGGAAATGACACAAGGCAGACATGGGACCAGATGTGCCACACCCCATAGCATCCCATGGCCCAGCATAGACCCTGGGCCCACTCCCCAGACCCACGGGCTCCAACCTGTCTTCTCCCCCGCAGCATCCCCACCTGGCCCCCCCACAGAGCAGAGCCAGGAGCACCAAGCACAGATAAATTTCCTGAAACCCGAGCTCTGCAGAGGCCCAGGCCTCTGCCTCCATTGTCTCCTGAGGGGGAGGGGGAGGGGCTGCCTCCCCTCAAGGCGCTGGGCCCCAGGGCCACGGCAGGAGGAGTGGGCCACAGGTCTCCCTACAAGGCAACCCAGACACCCACACTCTGCACCAGAGACCAGCCAGGGCCTTGCCTGGGCACGCCCCATCCGCTCCCCTGTGGGCAGCAGCCCAGGGTCTTCCAGCACCTCATCACGTGCACCCTGTGGGACTGTGGCCCCAAAGCCCACGATCAGGTTGACCCTGAGGCCTGGGGACCTCAGCTCACCTGCGGTCTCAAAGATGAGGACCCTAGTTCACCCTGGGCCTGAGGCTTGGACCCTGGCTCACCTGGGGTCTGGGGGTCAGGACCCCAAGCCTGAGGATTAGAGATATTTGTCTTCAAGAAACCCCTCATCGGCCCAGCCTGATGCCCTCAAGAGGGTCCCTAAAAGCCACAATCTCTGAAGAAGCCCCTGCCACAAACTCTCCAGCATCCTCTTCCCTGCTCTGCTGCAGCCCTGCTCCCCACCCCACCCACGAAGGCCCAGGGACAAAGTCCCAGCCCATTTCCAAGCCCTCCCCAGGCCAGTGCAGCCTTCCAAGGGCCCCGACTTTGCCCAGGCACTGCAAGCCCCGCCCTGCTGCCCAGTACCGAAGCCCAGATACAAGACCTCTGATGTACAGGGTAGGTGATTGGCTGCAAATAGGGTGCAGATTGCCCAGCCCTGCCTGAGCAGGACCCCAGGCCCCAGCTGGGAAGGGACGGGAAGGAAAGGGGCAGTGGGCCCCAGTGCACACAGAGGCTGCCCCAGTGGGTGGGGTGGGCCCAGGTCCCATGTCTGCCCTGACCCCAGTCCCCGGCTCCTCGGGGGGACAGGGAGCACAGGCAGAAGGGTACTTCCGACCACCAAGGGCAGCTCAGATGCCCCCAGGTGCAGACCCTGGACTGCCCTACCTTAGGCTGGGGCTCAGGCAGCTGCCAAGGCCTTGGCAGTTGGCTGTGGTGGGGCTGGGCCCCGTGTTCACGTCCCACCAGACGCCCTCCTTGGGCATGTGTGCCCCTGACCAGACCCCCCCAACACCAGTGAGCAAGCACAGCCCCCTAAGGACTCCGGCCTTCTGCTGGGTAGCCAGTAGTGGGGGAGGGGGGAGACTGGGCCACCCGGAGGCCCAGCTAGGGGCTTTCACAGCTCTGAGCCCTGCAGCCCTGTCCCGTCCCCCTTCACAAGATCACACAGTCACACCAGTTCACAGGTGGGAAAGCCTAGCCCCAGGATCTGCCGTGGCCCCACGTCTCGGTTGACTACGCTGTCAGAAAGATTAGCCCCGGGCCCACCATGGTGGCTCTTGCCACAACTCCAATTTTGTCCTCCACAAGTGATCACACCCCATCTGTGCCACCACACACAGCCACCCCCTCCAACTCACAGTGCACACGCCGGGGCGGGGCCCTGGACCTGCGGGCCAAGTCCTGGGGTCCTCGGTACCAGAACATGGACCAGGTAGGCAGGTGTCTTCAGCTGGGCAGCATGCCCTTTCACTGGGGGCAGGGCCCCTGCTAACACAGTGCACTCCACCAGGTCCCCCGAAAACCCCTACTGGCCACCCGCCACACCCAGGGAGAGCACATGCACACACACCTACACACACACACGCATACACACACACACTCAGCTACAGGCCAGGTTCCGGGCCGACAGGGTATCACCTCCTGGGGAGCGAACAGGACGCATGGGGGCATCTGTGAGGCAGGACCAGGAGAGAAAGGACCACTTCCGTATCCAGCCTGCCTTCACCTCCCCACATCCAAGGCCCCAGACCCACCACTCTGCAGAAAGCTGCACCTGACACCAACCTGGAACCACAGGCGATATACAGCAGAAAACTGACCCATGCAACCAGGCCAGGGTGCAGAAGACCCCCCAACCAGGCCTGGGGTACTAGCAGAGGCAGGGGGAGGGGAATGGGAGGGTTCAGGACTGGCTGAGCATCACTGGAGGGTGTGGAGCCCAGACCAGCTCCCAGTCCTCTGGTCTCCAAGAGCCTGGACCAGGTAAAGGAGGGGGCTCCCCACACCTTTGCACCCCAGCCACCTTCAAGGTCCTCTTTACACCCCCTACTCCAGGGAGCCTGAGAGTCTGAGCCAGTCCTGGACTGGAGCACACCCACCCCCACCTGCAGCCCCTGAGGCAGGCCCAGAACCCTTCTCTGTCCCCTGGAGCCAAGCAGTCCCTGCTCTCCCCGGTCAGAGCCAAGTGCCCCCCCGGGCATGCTGGGCTCCAAACTCACCCCGGCTCATGGGACAGAGCTGGACATGCAGCAAGCATAGGCAGTGTGGCCACCAGGCTGCTGCCGACCAAGCGGAAATACCAGGGTGCTGGCATCACCGCACCGACTACACAGCCGGCAGCCAGGCCGCACTGCTGTCAGGGAGGCGGAGACAGGAGAGACCCCCGAACCACATGGCTACCTCATGGCCCTGCTCCTCCACCTGGGGGGGGCCACCTTCCCACTCCGGGGGAGAACCAGCTGGGAGCAGGAGGAAGGGAGGTGAGCTGGCCCAAGACCTGGTACCCAGACTACAGGGCTCCCACCAGGGGAGGCAGGGCCTGTCCTGTCCCGTTCCACCCCCGGCCGGCTAGCAGGGCCGAGAGCCATGAGGGACACGCGTTGGCCCGCCACATTCCTCCCAGCCTCCCTGCCCCCACGCCCACTGCTGCCAACTCGAGCAGAAAACACATCCTCAGGTAGCGATTTCGAACTGTGCTGGCTCCGGCCCAAGTGCAGATGACAGGCTGCCGGCCCTGCTCAGACCTGCCTGCTGCGCCGCTGCGGGGGCGAGGAGGCTGGGCTCATCCTAATGCCTGGGGCCTCCCAGGCCTGCCCCTGCCTTTTCCATCTCGGAGGCACATTCCCCACCTGCGGCCCCAGGGTCAAGCAGACCCCAGAGGTCAGTCGGGCACGCGGGGGCAGGGCTGTGACCAGAGGGGACTGTGGCCCAAAATCAGAAAGAGGGGAATGGGAGAGGGGGCCAGGCCCCCTGGCCCCAGCATAGGAGAGGGTGTCAGCACAGGGCTGAGCCGGGGGTGGGGCTGGCTCCAAAAACAGTAGGCTCTACCAGCCCAACGGCAGCCAGCCTGGCCCCAACTTCCAATCTCTTTCAGGACCAGGGTACCAGTGGTCTCCTACTGGCTGGTCTTGCCAGAGATCCTTGGTCAGAAGGACGGCCCCTCAGGCACAGTCTGGCACGCTGCTCCTGCCACTGCCCACGCCAGCTGCCAGGACCTGTTCTAGCCCACTGAGGTCCCACTTTACAAGGTCCTCTCCCCAACCCAGTCCCATGTGTGTAACAGAGACCTACCACTTCAGGCCACATCAGGAGGCAGGAGGCTTTGGTCCGCTCACCCTAGCCCTTGCCTACCATGGCCCAGGGAAGCCCGCAGGGAAGCACCACATCCCTACCAGTGTTCCCAGGCCCACAGCTGCAGCCTGATGGCCACCTCCGAGGCCCCTCCCAAAACAGAACAAAGACAAAAACCCGAGAATGGAAGGTGTGACAGAGGATCACAGCCCTGGGGCCCACTGAGCCTTCCTCCGGGGTCTGGGCCGGTGGCAGAGGCTGCCACCAACACACACACACACACACACACACTAGGTCCTCCAGGACCCA